TCGTGCACCGGGCCCCTAGTAAGTATATAAGTAGCAACACAAAAGTTTACTTGGTATTTGCCTCTTTCAATTTTAAAGCATATCAACATAGGCAATAGTTTAATAATTCTAATTCTCTAGAACAGCAATTTTCAACCAGTGTGTGAGGAGCACACTGGTATACCACAAAAAATTTTAAAACATGCAATACCTGACTATTTTAGTCAAGGGCACTAACCTCTTTTCCCTTAGACTGTCAAAAAAAAAAAAAAAATGACAACACAACAATAGTCTGGTGTGAGTGAATCAAAATTATACCTATTGTTTTTTGTCAGATCGGCAAAAACTACATTTTTTTGGTGTGCCACAAAATTTTAGTAATTTGTTTATGTGTGCCATGAGATGAAAAGGGTTGAAAATTGCTGCTCGAGAACATGCCCTCATTACATGAAATGATGCAATAAATAATGATATTACTATTTTATAAACTTTTTTTCCCCTCACACAAGGACTTGTTCATTGATATTTAGAGGGAGAAAGAAATGGAGGGAGGGGGAATGACAGAAAGAGAAAGAGAGAGCAAGACATCCATCTGTACACGCCTCCTTTACATGCCTCAACCAGGAATTGAACCCACAACCTTTCAGTGTACAAGACGATGCTCCAACCGAGTCACACTGGCCAGGGCATATTTTATAAACTACTTAACAATTAATATGCAATATTTTACAAAGAAGAAATACAAACAAATCCTTATTGCCCATATTTTTATTTATTTGTTTTTAAACTTTATTGATTTCGAAGAGGAAGGGAGAGGGAGAGAGAAATAGAAACATCAATGATGACAGAGAATCAGTGATTGGCTGCCTCCTGCATGCCCCACACTGGGGATTGAGCCTACAACCGGGGCATGTACTCTAACGGAGAATCAAACCATGACCTCCTGGTTCATAGGTCGCAATGCTCAACCACTGAACCACTGAGCCGGGCCTTATTGCCCATACTTTTCAAAAACATAAATAAAAGATGCATGTGTTGCCCTAGCTGATTTGGCTCAGTCGATAAGAGTGTCAGCTTGAGGACTGAAAGGTCCGGGGTTTGATTCTGGTCAAGGGCACATGCCCGGGGTTGTGGGCCCGATCCCCAGTAGGGGGCATGCAGGTGACAGCCAATCGATTCTCTATCACTGATGTTTCTATCTCTCTCTCCCTCTCCCTTCCTTTCTGAAATCAGTAAAAATATACTTTTTTTTTTTAAATGCACGTTTTAAAAAAATTCCATCTGGCACAAAAATAGTTAAAAATATAACAATTTAAGTCTTTTATTTTTAGTTTGTGATTTTTTTTCATATTGGTATATCAGCTTATTTTTTAAATATGTTTTGTTTTTTGCTTTGTTTTGTTTTGTTTTTGTTTTTTTAAGAGAGAAAGGGAGGAAGGGAGAAGGAGAAAGAAAAATATCAACCAGTTGCCTCCCATACACACCCGGCCCAGGAACCAAACCCAAAACCGGGGCATATGCCCTAATCAGGAATTGAACCAGTGACCTTTCTATATATAGGAGGATGCTCAACCAACTTAGCCACACTGGCCAAGATCAATTTAAGGATTTTGAATAGTTATGACTATAGAAGAATCATAGCAGAGGAAAGAAACTATTGCTCAACATCAGGTTGAAGTTGTTCTAAGGTACGTTTCTAACAATTCACCCAAAATATATACTTTAAGTTTTCTGCATCTATACATGAAATTTGCTCTAGAGCACGGGTCCTCAAACTATGGCCCGCGGGCCACATGCAAATACAAATATTGTATTTGTTCCCGTTTTGTTTTTTTACTTCAAAATAAGATATGTTCAATGTGCATAGGAATTTGTTCATAGTTTTTTTTTAAACTATAGTCCGGCCCTCCAACGGTCTGAGGGACAGTGAACTGGCTCCCTGTTTAAAAAGCTTGAGGACCCCTGCTGTACAGTCTAGACTGGGTTTTGTTTTTTAACGCTGGGATGTGACAACTACAAATTTTTAAGGTTAACCATAAAAACTAACTTCAGCCTTACAGACAGCGATGAAGTTCATTCATTAACATTCTAATAAATATTTCAAATGTAAAATAGCCCTGAATCCAAACAAAGCCTTACTTTTCTCTCTCTTCTATTTCTTTTTGTCTTTCCAGCTCCCGCTGTCTCTGCCGTTCTTCTCTTTGGCGCTTCACTACTTTCTCATAATCATTAGGAAACATAGGATCATATTCATCAGCTAAGGGAATCAAAACTTCTCCTGCAGAAAATCCACTGGGTACAGGATCCTGAGGAAGATAAAAATGCCAAGGTATCATTCTCATGTCTTGAAATTTTAGAATTCAAGTAAAAGAATATGAGGGTTGGAAGGAGACTTGATGACATCTACATGCCTCCTTTGTTTTATAGATGAGGGAACAAATGTCTAAGGAGGTTTAGTGACTTGACATGTCACATAGCTCACCAGGTAGCAGCAAAACCATGAGAATGAATTTAGTTCAGTATTAATTCCATAAATATCCTATGGCACTTTCCTGAAATTCCCAAACTGCCAGTACTGAAACTTTTAATAATTTTGATTATTTATATAGTTAACAATGAACACTTCTGGTTTTATGTATCTCCATGAAAACTTAAAAACCAAACAACCCACAAATAACAATCATTCTTTTGGTCATTAATAACCTGAGGATATTTTTCCCATTGATTTTTTAGAGAGTAGAAGGTAGGGGGAGAGAGTGGGAGTCCCAGTTAAAAAAACACTGCATGTGAATGTGGGACCAGCCTGTTCTGTGCCTCCCCACCTTCTACAGTGTCTGTGTGCTTTCTTCTTTACTTCTCTAAAGGTAGGACTTCCATTCAACCAGCTTTCCAGTGGTTCTGGATGATGGTAGTTCTGTATTTTAGTTGTAATTTAGATGTAGTTGTGGGAGGCCGTAGGGGTGGGAAGGGGGGGGGGAAGGACACTGATGTGAGAGACACACATCGACTGGTTGCCTCCTGCATGCACTCCAACCAACCTTGCAACCCAGATACATGCCCTTGACTGGGAATCTAACCTGAAACCCATAGGTGCATGGGCCACTGCTCTCGAATACTGGCCAGGACTTCTTGGGCTTTTTGAAATGCTCTGGAATACATCCCTTCCCTGGGAGGCAGCACTTCCTGTGCTGAGTCTGACACAGATGGATGTCATTCCCTTCTTGTCATCATTAATTTATTTTTACCTATGTTTTTATTGATTTTTTAGCAAGGGAGGAAGGTAGAGGGACAGAAAGATAGAAACATCAATCAGCTGCCTCCTGCACGCCCCCTATTGGGGATCCAGCCTGCAACCCGGGCATGTGCCCTGACCAGGAACAGAACAGGCCACGACCTCTTGGTTCCTAGGTTGACAACCACTGAGCTCACTGGCCAGGCTCATTAATTTTTTTTTTTAAGGTCCACTAAGATCAGGTTCAGATGATAACATTTTGCATTTCTCTTCTAAACATTTAGAAACTGGAGCTACTTAGTCTTTGAAAGAAAAGAGGTAGTCTTAACAAAGAAATCAGAAAGACCTAAGACAGAGAGTACAGCTAACTAGAAGATACATGATTAGAAGTGGAGCTTTACCCTAGGTTGGTGGTCTTGATCCCTGGTTCTGGGAAACTCCAATCTAATATACAGCCTAAATTTCCTAAACCTCTATACTTACTTCTTCCATGTTTTCTTAGCATAACTCTTTCTTATTATCTCTAAAAATAAGAGGCCTTAACTGGTCTCCACAGACATCTAAAACAAGCACTGCTTAGGACTAGTATTTTTGAGTGCCCATTCTACATCTCTTTCAGGAGGCACACTACCCAATACTATCAAAGGCAGAAAGGTTGCAAAATGTATTTCATTTTGAACACAAAACTAATATAGTAAGAAGAGCTTTTGCCCTAGCCGGTTTGGCTCAGTGGACAGAGCATATGTGGACTGAAGGGTCCCGGGTTTGATTCCGGTCAAGGGCACATACCTTGGTTGCTGGCTCCTTGGAGGCAACCAATTGATATTTCTGTCACATTGATGATTCTCTCTCTGTGTCTCTCCTCTCCCTCCCATTCTCTCTAAAAATCAATGGAAAATATCCTCAGGTGAGAACTAACAATAACAACCAAAAAAAACCATAAACAAAAACAGTTTGTGTTCAATATCAATGGATTTAAATCTAACAATCCTGTTCACTTTGACATTGTACAATATTACATCCTTCCATTGACATTCTGCATTGTAAAACAAATACTTCGTCATTTCCTTGTAACTAAAAAATCAGAAAACAGTATGATTCGATGAATAAAAGAAGTTAGGAAAATAATTGTAGTCACCTCTGAGGCCCTATCACTGGAAAATTTACACAAATCTATTAAACATAGGGTCCACATAGGATAATTAATAAATTTGTATTCATATAAAGGCAAAGGCACATGAATAAGATTTCCTTTCAGTTTTTATTAAGACAGAAAAGAAGCTAGTAACCAGCCACTCAACTTATAAAATACTATTATTAGAAAGTTTCTGAGAACAAATTGTCAATATGAAAGTTAATTCTTTGTCATTTCAAAATTTGAAATAAAAAACTTTTACTGTATAAACCCTGCTAAGCCCTAGTCAGCTTGGCTCGGTGGATAGAGCATCGGCCTGTAGACTGAAGGGTTGCAGGTTCAATTCCGGTCAAGGGCATATGCCTGGGTTGCAGGCTCGATCCCCAGTAGGGGTGTGCTGGAGGCAGCCAATCAATGATTCTCTCTCATCACTGATGTTTCTATCTCTCTCTCTCCCTCTTCCTTCCTCTCTGAAATCAATAAACATATAAAACAATTAATAATAAAAAATAAACCCTGCTAAGTTTAACAATGAGCCTTCTTCTTTAAATGCTACAGAGAATACAGCAGCCTTAGCCAGTTTGGCTCAGTGGATAGAGCGTTGGCCTGTGGGTTGAAGGGTCCCAGGATCGATTCCAGTCAAGGGTATTTGCCCATGTTACGGGCTCGATCCCCAGCATGGGGCGTGCAAGAGGCAGCCAATCGATGATTCTTTCTCATCATTGATGTTTTTCTCTCTCTCTCCCTCTCCTTTCCTCTCTGAAATCAATAAAAATATATTTTTTAAAAAGAGAGAACAGCCCTAGCTGGTTTGGCTCTGTGGATAGAGCATCGGCCTGCGAACTGAAGGGTCCCAGGTTCGATTCCAGTCAAAGGCACATGCTCAGGTTGTGGGCTCAATCCCCAGGCGGGGCATACACGAGGTAGCCGATCAGTGATTCTCTCTCATCATTGATGTTTCTATCTCTCTGCCTTCTCCCTTCCCCTCTAAAATCAATAAAAAATATATTAAAAAAAATAAAAAAACCTTACCAAAAACAAAACAAAACACAAATTGGCAATGAAAATGACTGATTTCTTAAAGCCACTTCAGGAAGTCTACCCTAAGAAAATAATTTTACATGCACAGAGCACTCTCTATGTAGATGTGCATGCATTATAGTGTTATTTACGACAACAACATAAAAGCAGGTCTAGATGGTTCTACCGTTAGGAAACACTTGTATATATTACAATACATTCACTGGATAGGAATACTTTACAATTAAAAATTGGTTATGTCCTGGCTGGTGGGGCTCAGTTGGTTGACCATTGTCCCCATGCACCGAAAGGCTGTGGGTTCAATTTCCAGTCAGGGCACATGTCCAGGTTGTGGGTTTGATCCCTGGTTGGGGTGCATGTAAGAGGCAACCAATCGATGTTTCTCTCTCACATCGCTGTTTCTCTCTCTCTCCCTCTCCCTTCCTTTCTCTCTAAGATCAATAAAAAAGTATATATTCTGCCCTGACCCGTTTGGCTCAGTGGATAGAGCATCGGCCTACGGACTGCAAGGGTCCCAGTTTCGATTCCGGCCAAGGGCATGTACCTTGGTTGTGGGCACATCCCCAGTGGCGGGGGGCGGGGG